CCGGGTTCGAGTCCCGCTCTGACCACTACCTGGATTTGTTTCTCGGTAGCCCCCCGTGTTCAAATGCTCGGCCACGCTTGTAAATAGCTTGCCATTAGGAACGAAGTCACCCACACCGCCGGAGGGAGCTTATCACGTAAGGTTTTTGTAACGATTGGAGTGGAGTGCTAGCTCATAGCTGATTACTCCCCCCACTAAAAAAAAAAAATGTCAGATGGCCTTAGCAGTTCGCATAAATGGTCTCTTTAGTTGAGTTATAATTATTTGGGTTGCCATGCAACGCTGGGTAGGAGAGTGGCATGACGCCCCAACCCCGCAGGGGTTTCAATAACATTAGTTATAAGAGGCCACTGAAAGTGTAATAGGCGGCTGCGACCACCAAAGGGGCCGTAAGGCCCCTTTTCCCTAGGGGGGTCTGGAGGCATGCAAACAACATGTACGCTATTTCTTTGGAACGTTTAGTCTGTCCGCTTTTTTGTAGCATTTAAAAATTTCAGTGGTCGTCGTTGTTGTTGTAATTGCTTTTTTTTTTTATTAATATCATTTTTATTTCAGTAATGAAATCCAAACAGACGGCGGTAAGAGGTCCTACAGGCAGCGGTAGACCGCCGGTAACCGGCTTTTATTGAAACCCCCGCCCAACCGGCGTTTCTTGAATAATAGTAGGGAGTTTTAGCAATGACGACGGCGACGCCGAGAACGACACGTTGTAAAAAAAGTATTTATAGTTTATCCTCGAATGTCGCAACTGTGTAGATCTGTTCAGGACGCCTATCGCTCTAAAAACTTGCTCAGGCCAAATACGTAATGACAGCGTTCAATTTAAAAGGAAGACACGAAATATTCGCCATTGCGGTACACGTTCTCTAAAATACGTACGACTGTTATTTCACGTTGTTGTTTTACAGAGGACGGCAAAGAAATGTACAAAGATTCAAAACGCACGTGCAGAACAATGTAGTTCTGCTCATTAAACCCTTTGTTTGGTGACGTTCTCGTTGCTGTCGCCGTCTTGGTTTGCTAAAACTCCATATTAACAAGTCTCCGGAGCGAGTTTCTACTTAGTTGCACTGGGGTGGTAGCCGCGGATCCAACAAACTCATCTCGTCCTGCTCTGGTGGTGGTTGTAACCACTCGTATAACGTAACTTTAGATGAAAAAAAGACTAGCTCTGGCGGAGAATAGATGTCCCAATCTCGGCACTTGCATACTTTCAGATTCTTTACATCTTCGTGTTCAAAATCGCAGCAAAAGTATACATCGCAGTTATCGGACTTACAGTACACGAAACTTAAAGCCATTGAAAACGATAACACGAAATAATTGTTTAAACCAAGGCCAGAGCCAAGACGGATATGGATTTCAAATTTATGCCATTTGTTTTTATTTCTTTTCCAACAGATAAATGAATTTGTAAAATTGTAAATTGTCAATACTAATATTATGCTTTTTGTAAGCAAATCCAGTGTACCATTATTTTTCTTCAATATATTCTCGGTAGCTAAGAACCATGTATAACACAACCCCGGGCTTCATTACCGCAAAACGTTTAGTTTTATTTCTGAGTCATTATTTCAATTTATATAAGTTACTTGTGCTTCACTGCTGCAGTGATGTGTTTGTGTGTGTGTGAATTGTTAGCCCGTGGCCTCAGTTCTAAAATTATTCCTGTACGATTACTCTGACTAGGGGAGCGTACGCGTGTGACAATTTATTCAGTTATAAGTTACAGAATTTGCACATGAATTGAATTAATTTACACCAGCAGTATTACCAGATGAAGGCTATTTTTCATCATATGCAAACCTGCAAGTAAGAAATCTATAAAGTGCTATAAATTAAAGAAATAATTCTTATGTTTACTTCACCAGTTCGCTCATGCAGATTTAATCACCTTACCGGCGCTTACAATACCGCAATATGTAATCTATTTGGTTTTGTTATAACTTTCCCGCAAAGCTCGAAGAGACAAAAAAAAGCCATTCTAAACAAACAAAAAATGTTCCATTTCAGTGGGTTTGCTTTACGTTGGGAGCATTGAAAAGGGGATCTACACTTTATTGTATAGAAGAAAAATGAAAGAAAAAAAAGGATAATGATACATGGAGAGTAGAAGATCTATATCTGCGCTGACTAAAGAACCGGAAAGCAGCTGCCTCCGTCCCTGTCATTAACGTAAAATCCCACGGTAATATTCTAAGCTAAAGAACACATCTAGTTAAATAAAAGCTTAATTAGTACGAATATTTTTTCGTGAAGTTGTTTTCTTTGTTCATTGTGACATTTCATTTACACTTATTCATAACATTCATAACATTTAGATGTCATAAAACGTAATTAGTACTCATGCCGAAAATTTTCTATGAACTATTTAAAGGAAAATATGATGGAAAAATATAATTTAATCAAATTTGGTAAAATTTGTCACCAATGCTTTAGTTGAGAAGCCCGTAAGGTCAAAATAAAACCGAATTGCGTTCCCCACCGTAAAATATTTTCATTTTTATCGATAGGAAGTAGACGATTTTGCTGTCCAATAAAGAACCTTTGTTGGCTGTTTTGTTGAAGATTTTATGAATAGTGTTAAAAGCACAGGAAATATACTGCCGTCAGTGCTATTCAGCCCACGTGAAGCTGAAAGCGCAAGATTGTGGACGATCATGAAGGAAAACACAGTCGTCTTCATCTTTCTCATTTTAGCGTTATTTAATATGGCCAGCTACAGCAGGTCTTCGCCGCTTTATCGTAAGTATGCATCCTTATGTTTTTACAATTAGGAACACGGCAGAAATCGAAAGCACAAGGGATCGATTATTCAATTGCATTTAAATTTTTTCGTCCTGCGATTTTAAAGAATGAATATTCAGCCCCCTCTCCCCCCCTCCGAAAACCCCCGTGAATTCTTGATCAATTAATCTTTAAAATACAATTATCTATAATTTCTGAACCGTAAAAAGGAGATCGCCTTCATTGCTCAAAAATTACATGCTTGCTTAAGCTACGAGTTCAGTTCAGAAATCAGAGTGAAGGTTAACGATGTAAGCGCGCAAAAGAGATAAAAAAAAAGTTGTTGTATACTTATCGCTTGTCGGTCACTGTTATTTGAATTAAATTTCTAATATTTTCCGGCGCGCAATGGCAGGTAAAACGGACCTTTTTAGGCATGTACTGACTCGATTCGGGAAGACGGCTACTTACATATACATGTTTGTTGAGATGGAGGCCGTGAAAAACGGTCATACAATTTTAAACCATTTAGCATGTTTAGGAAGAGTACAGATGTACAAACCAACGATTAGCCAAAGATAAAAACAAATGTCGTACTAACAAGACTTTGAAATTCTTGCACCCGGGAGGGGGCGAAAAATAGTTGTTCTATCAAATATTTGACGACAAAGACGCAACATATAATTTACAATTCAGCTTAAATTTAATTTATCTATTCTATACTTGTCTTGTAACATGCAAATATGTCGTTAATTTTATTCAAATTCTAGAGCGTGAAGAAAACTCGAAGCTCCTGGTCGCTCGCAGAATGATGCTGTCAGAAGGTTAGAAGACTTCAGTGATGTATAGGCAATAACCTCCATTTGACGCGGAAATATGCTCGGTAATTGGTCCGCGGACATTACCTGTTCCGAGAAAATGAAATAACGTGTTCGGTTTTTTTGCGAAGTATGAACTGGAGAGGGTCTGGCGGATGGAGGTACTAAAATCTCAGTGATCAGTTAAATTTTTGGCAGTTTAAATTTCCGTCCATTTCTCGACTCATCTTCATTCCATTTCTCAGCTCAGTTGAAAATCGCGTCAATTTTTGGCCGACAGTTAAAGCATCTTGACAAACTCTCAGCTATCACTTAACAGAACCGCTTAGAAATCTGCAACAACTTGATCGAGAGCACACAACACACAAGTTTGAATCTGTTATTTTGCCCGGGTTATGTTTAGCCTCATCGCTGGAGCCTGGAGATGCCGGAAAATACAAGGAAAAGACATAAGTCGGATTCCATGGTATACCGCGAAAAAGTGTTGCATAACTATTTTAAACCGTGCCACAGAAACTGCAGTAGCCAACAGAACCAACGCATGCGCACACGATGGGAGGGTCGGTCGTAATCGTCGAATATACAACGGTTTTTCTGACTTTCCATAGCATGGTATAAAACCTGATAAAATCATTCAGACGGGTGTTCACAAAACATAGAATGCAAAACATCTTTCTTTGTATTGAATATAATTGCAGATCCAGAATTTGGTGAAAGTCAACGTACTATGAAAAGACCTTGTTTGACAGAAAGGTGACTAGCGTTGATTGTTGTCATTTCTATATATAACTACAGAATAACTTAAATTAAGCCTGAAATATAACTTAAAAAAACACTTAAGACCCTTGATAGTATAAGTGGTACACTTATTCGGTACCGGCGAACTTAAAGCTGAGGGAAGGGGGTAATCCTACGATGGACTAGCATCCCATTCATTCATTCATCCATCCATCCATTCATCCATCCATACTATTAACTTCATGCTATAAGCATGAAGCATGATATAAGCACCAGCCTGATGAGCCACTTGGCTCGTATGCAGTCTTTACCTTAAGGTTACCGTAGTGATCATGAGTAAGCCAAACTTTAAAATTTTATTAAGTTACTACGAACTTGGTAAAAATGAAAAATTATTATCATAATAGGATATATACACAATTTACTACTGATGTGGTAATATCTCGTTTGTTTTGCAGTGGGTTGATGTGCGAACTGTCTCCAAGAATATGATGGCTCCTTTGAAGTGCTAAAAATTTTAAATGTCTTCGTTAACTCGGGACGTCAGATTAGCAGCAAAACCGAGAAATTCTTCTTTTCCACTTACAAATGGAATAAATGGCTTTTGATTGATGATTTTCCACGCTGCTCTGTAATCATAATCACATTCTGCTTACCTAAAAAAACACTCATGCCTGTATCATCGTGCTCTTTTAAAAGTATATTAAGAGCCAGTTCCTGTAAATACCGAGAATGAGATGACAGTCGCGAAATTTTCGATTTCTTCATATTTTGCCCAAGTCACCTCCATAGTGAGTTGTTTTCGAAAACACCATTCAAAGGTCCTGAAGCGCTTTAGTTTTTTCGAAATCGAGGAAAGTTTGAAAATCGCCATTTTAGC